TTCATGCTCCTGTGGTTGGAAAGTTCTGCCTTAAGTCTAGCCTGTTTTCTTCTTGCTGCAAAGTCTCCTACCTCTGAGCCCGAGTCAAGCCAAAGTTACATGATGGGTGGGGGCTACTTCGAGACCACATTGTTTCACCAAGCTGCTTGGTGGCTACAGTTAGGCAAAAATAACCCCTGTGCTTTCCAAAGCAACACACGTTGGTTAAACTGAGTTTTTCCCCAGAATAAGGTCCCTCTCCACTTTCTATCCGGCTGAGCAGGGAACTTCCTTACACTCTGTTGGCCACAGATGGCACTTTTCCCATTCCTCCCCAGCTGCAGGCATATCCAAAGCAGTTTCTGCAGAACATGGAATGCTGCCAATTTCTTTTTTCCTCTCCTCTCTCTCCCTCTCTCTCTCTCTCTCTCTCTCTCTCTCTCTCTCTCTCTCTCTCTCTCTCGTCAGCTACTATCCACCACCCTAGCACCACTGTGGGCTCACTTCCCCAATTCAGCCACCCAGCCTCCTGCCAGGTGGGACACAGAAGTCCTCTGTCCCTGTGTCTGAAATCAAACTGGGCGGCCCCCCTTTCTTTCTCCCTCCCTGGAAGGCCCAGCGATAAGGGTCTAGTCTGGCTTAGCCAGCTCCAAGCGCCAGTGACCTTGGATTTGTTTGAACCACATTCTTGGCTCCACCTAAAGGGAAACTTTCCCCCTGGTTGGCTTAACCGGGTCTTTTTTAGAACGCCCAGGCTGGGGGGTGAGGGAAGGGGATGTGGTTTGGGGGTTCTTTCTCTTTGGGATAGGGAAGGGGGAGGTGTAACAGGAGCCAGGCTTGGGGCGGGGAGATGTTCCTCCCCAGGGAAGTTCATTATGCTGATTTCTAGGATACTTTTTTTTTTTGGTGGCAAAGAGATTTACAAATTGGCTCAAAACCTTTCTACCTGGAAGGTGAAGAACATCTTTATTTGCTCTGGTTCCTTTATTAGGAACCTAAAACCAGAGCAGTGGTTTTCACCAGGGAACATTGGTGCCTTTCAGGGAAACTTGGCAATGTCCGCAGACGCGTCTGGTTGTCACAACCGGGATTGGGGGGTGGGTACTTCCAGGATATAGTGGGCAGAGACCAGAGATGCTGTTAAACACCCTGCAGTGCACAGCACACCTCCTCCGCCCACTGGCGACAGAGCATCACCCGGCCCACGGGCGGTGAGAAACCCACTCTGCTCTGAGGACAGGCCGCCCAGGCCCTCCCCTGGTTTTCTTGGGAGAAAGACCTTGATTCCAACAACGTGTCCACTTTTCCGAACCTTGTTGGAAGTTCCTTTTTTCCCTATCGCAAATGTTTGCTGCTTTTCTTTGTACTGATTATAAAATCACTATGGGCTGATTGTAGCAATAGCAAACTGCAGAAACGCAAAGAGCCTCCTCCTCCCACTCTCCCTCCACCCGAGAGGGCGGGGCTGTGCTGGCCTGGGCCTCTTTCCCACCGGCTCTCTTTTCATCAGTTCTCCTGCCTCTTCTTCTTACGTGTTTTTTCTTTTACATCAGATCATAAGCGCCTCCCCCTATTACAAAAATCTATCGTAAAGGCCGCTGGAGAGTCTGAGCACATTCCTCCCTGCTGCCCTCAGGGCCTGTTTCTTCCTCTCCGGAGTGTGAAGGACCTTCAGGGCCCCTGGAGGGGTTGGTTCAGGGATGCACCAGTCACTTCCCTTTTTGGTCAAAAGTGAGGTGTTGATTGTAGAGCAGCGACTGGGATCCTTCCCTTGAGGGAGGCTGGCCCGCTGGCCCTTGCCCAAGCGGAGTTCCAGAACCTTCTTGAGTAAAGGCAGTGTTGCTGGGATAAACAGTGAGCCTGAGAGGTGCCGCCCTGAGGGCCAGCAGCTGGCTGAGCGCACAGCCCAGGCAGGCACCAGTGGTTCAAGGGCAGGGACGCCGCCGGGCAGCCTGGTGCTTAGGCACACTCAAGGAGCAGTCACTGAATGACATTTCTTGTCTTCGCTTAAAAACAAAACCAAATCAGAATCCCTATTTCATGGCACCTTTGGTTTTCCCCCTACCTTGCTTTGTCTTATTTTCTTTGTTGTGGTATTTTCTTTGTAGTAAATTCTGAATCTGCTCATTTGTTTATTGTCTCTCTCTGCCCCTTAGCATTTAAGCTCCATGAGGACTTTTTGGTTCCCTCTGGATGGGGAACAATGACTGTCACATAGTAGACACTCAATAAATGTGCTAAGTGAGTGAATGAACTTCCCCTTGATGGCTGAGGTCATGCCCTCTGTAAGTCCGTATAGGTCTCGGGGCTTTGGACATTAACTGAGCTGCATAAATAGCCCAGATTTGAAAGCAAGATGAGCTGATTTTACCATTTCTCTCAGGGCTGGTTTAGAAGCCGGCTCTGGGGGTCCGGGCTCTGCGATGGCACCACTGTGGCCGACGTGGTGCCCTTCTGGCACTGGAAGGATAGCCATTCACTTGCTCATCTGTCACCCACTCATCCAGTTGCACAGCGTGCCTGTGCCTTGCCTGGCACTTGAGCCACTGTGTGGCATGGTGCCCCTTGAATTGTGCAGGGCACCTCCTGTATAAGCTTACACGCCATTGGATATTCCGGTGCTGGGATAGAGCAGTGGGTACACCCAGTGCAGCCCACAGTTTGATGGGGAGACACACTAAGTAATCAAGGACATCATGGTGTTGGAGGCAAGCATGGGAGGCTGTGAGAACCCCAAGAAGGGCCCCCATCCTAGCCTAGGAGGGTCCGAGATGATTCCTGAGCCAAGTTACCTTCTCTTCCCCACTTCTCAGCTCCATGTGCAGCTGGCTCAGAGGAAGGTTTTTTGTTGTTGTTGTTTTTTAATATATATTGATTTCAGGGAGGGAGAGGGAGAAAGAGATAGAAACATCAATGATGAGAGAGAAACACTTATTGGCTGCCTCCTGCACGCCCCCTACGGGGGATCGAGCCTGTAACCCAGGCCTGTGCCCTTGACTGGAATCGAACCCGGGACCCTTCAGTCCACAGGCCAATGCTCTATCCTCTGAGCCAAACCGACTAGGACTCAGAGGGAGGTTCTTGAGTCCTCTCGGAACTAAAGGTTGTGAGCTGGAGCTGCGGCCTCTGCTGCCTCCTGGCTGCCAGGCCTGCCCTGCCCTGCCCGCTGTAATACTTTTCTTCCCTCTGCTGCCATGAAACAGCTGTGAAGACGGAAGGTTGTCTGCCCTTTTTATGTTTAAACTCTCACAGTTATAGCTTTTAGAGAAAGGGGTTGGCCTCGTGCAGTGTGCTTGTCAGGGATCGCTCCGTGCCTCCTCCCCCCACCCCCAACATGTGGAGCAGGGAAACTGAGGCACAAATGCAGCAGGTCCCTCAGCCATCCTTGCCCCTCACCCTTAAGGGAACACATCCATCCATCCATCCATTCCCTCTGGGCATTTAAATGGGGGCTTAGGGAGGGTGTTTTGCCTCGGTTCTTAACACTTTCTTGGATCTTGTGAATTCCCAGGCAGCAAAGTGGTGGACGAGGAGGAGGAAGGTCAGTGGCGTCGGGTAGAGTTGCCTGTGCATGCAGCACGAGGCTGTGGACGGCCTTGCCCTGCTGCTGCATGCCTGCGCGGGGCCTGGAGCGGCTGCTCTCCCACCCCTTCCCTTGTTCACCCGGCAAACAGTAACTGGGCACCTACTCTGTTCCAGGCTTTCCGGCGGGCACCTGGGGATACAGTTAGAACCTCCAGCTCTCCCGCTCGTTGGCTGGGAGACCGTTAGGGGACCGTGAGTGACCAGCACACCTTGCAGGAGATCCTGGTTGTGACATGCCTGGCACACGGTAGATGGACCATGAATGTCAGCAGTTTGATTAGGGCTGATTATTTAATTATTATGCCGCTCATACCTTCTGGGCTGGGTCAAGCCCTTGGAGGCCATCACAGTGCAGTGATGAGCTAAGTCACTGACAAAGAGGTGCAGGTGGCTGTGGGTGCCCAGCGGAGGGATGTCCTCTAGTGAATTTCAGCCAGCAAGGCTGCCCTCCCTCTGGAGATGTAAAGGCCTGACTGGCCGCTGGAGCAGACCCATACCTCCTGCCTTCTATGACCAGCGGTGTGTGGCTGCAGGTCAGACAGGGCCAGCCACTTCACAACTGGAAGGACCCCAGGTAGCCCAGAAACCAAAGGCAAGCCGGAAAACCGGACGCAGGAGATGGGAATGCTAGGGACGAGATTTCTTTGGGACAATCAGTGGGTCTTTCTTTGGTCCTTGGGGGGCCAGTGATGGTTCAGGGTCCTGGGAGAGGGGTTCTGATGGGCTGGCCTTAGGCAGCCTCCCCTCCTTGGCTGAGGACGCCAGGGGCACCCTGATGGATGAGCCCAACAAGACCCCAGGAAGGCGGGGGGGCTAATCCCCTGGGAGAAGGCAGATGGGACGCTGGGCCCACACACGTTCACAGTGCCCTTCATAGACGCTCAGTCCCTCCCCGGGCAGAGGAGAATTCTCCAGCCGCCCCAGTGGGCGGGCGTATCAGCCTGTGGGCTAATTGGGCTGAGAAGGGGAGGCAGCCACACGGAGGCCACGGTGGGGGCTCCCGCCTCGTCTTGGGGCTGGTGCTGAGTGAGGAGCAGGAGGGGAAGAGGAGGTTGCGGCTTACGGAGGGCGGAGGGCGGCCCGGGCAGCCAGGTAGCACAGCCAGGCTCTCTGAAGCACCGGCCCACAGGACTGGTGTCTCAGCATAGAACTCCCCCGCACCCCAGGAATGAGGTGTTTCAGCATCCCCGCCCCTGCCCAGAGGCAGACGACCAAGGCCGGCCTGGGCCCCATGCTGTGCAGGCACAGGTGCACTGGCTGCACACGGCCGCACGGACGTCCTGCCTGTGACCACGCTTCCTGTTTGTTAGTTTAGTTTCTTTTTTTAATTAAAAACAAAGGCACTAACAGCAAAGAAAATGTTTGAAGCAGCGATTCTCAGTCCTGGCTGGGTGCTGGACTCTGTAGAGCACGTTTAAAGTGCAGGTGACGAGCACACAGTGGCGCCACGCTCAGCTCATCACCTTCCTGCTTGTGCGGGTATGAGCTGTCCTTCCTCCCACGTACAGCTGTGGTAGGTGAGGCTGAGAGTTCACTTCCCCGGGACACACAGCCAGGGAGTGAGAGAGCACTCCCCGCCTGGCTGTGCTCTGACCCGGCACAGGAGGGACCGCGTCTCCCTGCACAGTCAGTGCGGGCCCCTGCCCTGGGCACCCCGGAGTGGGTTCAGAGCCAGGATTGAGAATCGGCATGGAACTCCCCCTCACCCCAAGCTTTGTCTTCCTTGTCTTCCCGTGGCTGTCACCCCAGAGCCGGCCTTTCTGGATCCTGCTTCTGCGCATGTCTCATCAGCATGTCCCAGGGTCACCCTGGCTGCGTATTGATCCCCTGTTGTGACTTCTCTCCTGCACCCCTCCCCTCCTCCTCTGGGGTCATCCCTGTAGGGCCCTACCATCGTGCTTGTCTCTCTCCCCCAGCATGAGAGGGAGGACATCACAGCGGAGTTGGGGTGATCAGTGTCTCGCTGAGTAGTTGGGAGGGTTAAAGGAGACAATGTATTTCAGCACAGCGCAGCCGCCGCCACCTCATTGTTAAATGTTAGCGTCACTGTCAAGGTTACAGCGATTAGAGTGATGGGTGGGTACCTCCTGGGATTGGGTGGACATCCGGCTGGTGTCCATGGTGGCCGTGTCAGGTATTAAAATACTTCCTTACAGTTGGGGAAGCCACCGCCCCAGGTACCCCCTACCCCAGACCTGCTGGACCACCTCGTGATTAGGCAGCCAAAGGGTTAACTCCCGGCACGACAAGGTGCCCCTGAGACCTGATTGGCTGGTGCCTCTCTCAACACCCTCTTCCCTCACATCCTGGCCCCATTGGCCAAGCTCCATGCAGCAGGGCACTGTCAGCTGAACTGGGTTGTACCCATTGCTGCTGGCACAGGGCACCTGCTCAGGCCCAGCACCCTCAGCTAATGGGGCCCTTGCAAAGCATCACCTCTGCCCCGAGGGAACTAATAGTTCGCTCCTGTGCCCACGCCCTTAGGAGCCTGTTGGTGGCCCCACAGGCAGGCCTTGCTTTTTGAGCTCCCTGGAGGCTAGGTTTTTCTGCCATCTCCCTCCCAAGCGACAGGTTTTCCTCATCTTTGCTCGTGGCATTAGCTCTTGAAACCATGATTCCCCCTTCTCTGTCTTCTGCCAGGATTAGCAGGCATGAGCGGTCCAGGGAAAGAAACAAAGCAGATGGAGAATGGCATGGTGGTGATGGATGCTGCAAGGAAGCAACCGCAGAGGTAAGCGCAGAGAGGGAGGCACCGCATTTCTGCCCGGCCTGTGGGGAGAGGGGAGGTACAGGGTGCCAGTGGCTTGGCTCCACCTACCAAAAAAGGCCTTCAGCTCTCCAGGGTCGTGCAAGTGGAGGCTTTCTGCCTCCCCCTCTCCCCCCAAATCCTCCGGGAACCTCATTTTCCTGAGCACAGAGGCCTGAAGGGGGAGCCTGGCACTGTTCCCCCAGGTGGCACGATCCACACAGGCCTTGTGATTTAACCATCAGTCTGCACTTCTGACACCCAAGCTCCCTACATGGTGTGGATTTTTGCTCAGTTTGCTCTGAGGGGCCTGGAGGGTTGAGGCGTTAAGAACCAGCATTCAATTAAAATTAGTCACAGTAATAGTAACTGCTGTGTCTGATGCGCCATTAGGACCCAGACACAGTGCTATTAGGAACCCCCCCTCTGCTGGTTCCTCACATCCTGGCCCCATTAGCCAAGCTCCGTGCAGCAGGGCACTATTGAACAGTCCATTGAACCTGGAGGTTGTTACTGTCTTCCCATTTTACAGATGAGCAAACTGAGAGCTCCCCACAGGTTATACAGCTAGAGAGAAGCTGAGCTAGGATTTGAGCCCAAGTCCAGCCTCTGAGCCCCTGCCCCTAACTTCTACACTTTGCTGCTTTAAAGGAGGTTGCATTTGGTGAGATCATTGGGTATTTGGAGGAGACTCATTCCATGGACTTTGTTGCTTAACCGCTCTGTGCCTCAGTTTCCTCAGCTGTCACATGGGGTCTGCAGTGTACTTGCTACATGGGGTTGTAGTAAGGCTTACCTGATACTGTGCCTGTGAAGCACCGGGGACAGGGCCCTGTGCCCCCAGCCCTCAGTCATTCCTGGACGAGTGGGGCTGCCGGGACCTGCTTCTTCTGGGGGTGGGGGTGGGGCATTTCACAGAAATGGGGCTGGAAGGAGATTGGCATGAGCAGCTCTGCCCTCAGAACCCTGGGCACAGCACCCTCCTGGACTCCGGTTTCTATCTCATGGACAGGTGGGAGGATTTCCTTCTTTGTCGGTGCACCTGTTGAGGTGGGGCGCTGGACATATGTGTGTAAAGCTTAGAGCCACTCCCAGAGTCACACAGGGGGCCTGAGGGTGCTGCCAGGTTCAGGAGGGCGGACGGCATCACTAGTCACAGTGGCTGAAGCTGCCGAGAGGGGGTGTGCCTACAGGTGGTCCTGGGAACAGGGGCAGGTGATGGTGGTATGCAGACCGGAGAGAGCCTGGGCAGACTGAGCAGAAACATGCAGGGCACTGGGGCATTCATTTTCTGTTGCTACATAGCACATTACCACACACTTCGTGGTTTGTCAGCTCATGGTTTCTGTGTCTTGGGGGGTCCGGATGTGGCTCAGCTAGTTCCTCTGCCTAGTGTCTCTCACAGGCTGTCGCTGAGGTGTCGGCCAGGATGGGGTCTTATCTGAAGGCTCAGCTGGGACCAATCTGTTTCCTGCAGCTGTTGGCAAGACTCACTTGCTCATTTCCTAACTGACCGTGGGCTGGAGGCCACCTCAGCTCCCTGCTCCCTGCACCTCCAGCCCCGGTGCTTGGTTCATTGAGGCAGGCAAACCAAGAAGGCAGGAGAGTCGGTGACCAGGGTGGGTTTTACTCCATCACCTTTGCCCGTATGGGTCTGAGCCGTGGCTGAGAGAGGGGGTGTGCCTGTGTTCTCATGTACATGTGTGTGTGTGCGCGCGCACACACACACACACACACACACACAGTGTCATTCCCCAAAAATCAAGGGGGAAAGAGGCCTGGGTCACCTGATCTGTGATGATCTGTGATGGTCTTCAAAAGCTGATGACCACTGGTGGCAAGAAAATGCTGTTTGCAGAATGCCTGCGTAAGGAACGCTTCTTTCATGGGGCCCCTACCCTCTCTGGGTTCATCTGTAAAATCTGAAGCTTGAACTGGGTCAGTACTTTGTTGGGACTGCCGTCCCTGCCCAAGGCTTGCATTGGCTGACACCACGTGCCTTGCTTCCCCCAGACAGCTCAGCAACTCCTCCTCCTACAGCGGGGACGCCAGCCGGCACCACGGCAGCACTGCCGAGCTGCAGAAGGCCGGGGCCAAGGAGGACACCTGGAAGATGATGGAGGCCGACAAGGCTCAGACAGGGCAGGTGAGGCTGGCTCCCTAAATGAGGACGCTGGTGGGTGTGTGCGGCTCCCCAGTGTGTGCTGGTCCCCGTGCAGAGGACTTTGTGTTAACACCTGCCTTCCTCACAGGAGCCTGTAAAAGTATTGTCTTAAATGCTGGAAACCGAGGCCTAAGAGCCTAGGTGACTCACCCGGGGTCACAGCTGAGAGGCAGAGCTGGGATTTGAACCCTGGCAGTCAACTCTAGAGTTGTCATGTATTGTCTCTGTTGTCCTTGCTGCCGCCTCCTTTGAGCTGCTGAGGGCCTCATTAGCGGTAGGCAACCTGGTCACTCTAAGTCAGGGCTTCCCATCATGCAGGGTTCCATTTATGTGAGGTGATTGCAGACACGGTGCTGAAGAATATTAAGGAAAGAAAGTTTTCATTTCTCTTCCAGCCCTTAGTACACCAGTGAGAAAGTTACCTAGCTCGTCTTGAATACCTGTCTTAGTCCGTTCGGGCTGCTATAACAGGATAGATTGGGTGGCTTTGAAACAATACACACTTATTGTTCACACCTCTGGCGACTGGCAAGTCCAGGATCAAGACACCGGCAGATTTGGTATCTGGTGAGGACCCACTTCCTTGTGCATTCCTGGTTCATAGAGGGCCATCTCTTCCCATGTCCTCACGTGGCAGAGGGGCTGGGAGCTCGCTGAGGCCTCCTCCATGAGAGCACTAATCCCATTCACCTTCATGAAGCTAATCATCTCTCAAAGGCCCGACTCCTAGTGCCATCACATAGGCATTCTGGGGACACACAAACATTCCGTCTCTAGCACTAACAATTGCTAGCTTTTCTTTGTAATAAACAGCGTGGGTTTAAAGCGCTCTCTCTCTCTCTCTCTCTTTCTCCATATATATATATAAAACAATCATCTATATTGTCCAAGGGTCACTAATCGGTAATTTTTCACTTGTGGCAATGATCAAAGTTTTGTTTTAAATCCTCACCTAAGGATATATTTTTCATTGATTCTAGAGAGAGGAAGGGAGAAGGGTGAGAAACATAAATCGGTTGCCTCACCCATGCATTCTGACTGGGGATCAAACCTGAAACCTGGGTACGTACCCTGACCGGGAATCAAACCTGAGACCCTTCAGTACATGGGACCTCACTCCAAACATTGAGCCACACCAGCCAGGGCCAGAATTTGTTTTTAAATATAAATGTGGTTATATGTTGGTTTTTTAAAAAAATAGGGAATAGTAGGAATAGGGAGGAGAACCAAGATGGCGGCATAGGTTAACGCCGGAGTTTGCTGCCTCGAACAACCACTTCAAAAGTGAAACTAAAAGACAGAACGGACATCACCCAGACCCACAGGAACGCTGGCTGAGTGGAAGTCCTACAACTAGGAGGAAAGAGTAACGCATACGGACACTCAGAGGAGGCGCAGTGCTGAAGTCAAATTCTGAGGTGCGGAGTGCACGGAGCAAGCGGGCTGGCGGCGGAGGGCGCGGTTGGCGTTTTCAATCGGGAGGGAGTCGCAGACTCTGAGCTCCAGATCCGGGCGAGTCTTTAGGGGCACAGACTCAAACGGGAGAAGCGGGACTGTCTGGCTTCGGTGAGAGCGAGTGCAGCTTTCTCTCCCAGGTTTGCAGCGGTTGCTGGGACTCC